CCCCCTTCCACTCCCTGGATGTATATAATCAGGGATCCAAGATTTTGCAAAAATTGTGCATAGATTCATGGAGTATCACCACTAAGTGTCCATTCACTAGACTGTCCACAACATCTTTCTATTGACTCGGGGAATTGTTGGAGTAGCCAATTTCCAAGCCTTGGACAGGATTTGCTTTGCTGTCAAAAATATAAATGTTATAACTTTGCCCCATGACTCGATTTGTCCCATCGCACCCACGAAGTCCCATACTTAAATTTCATCACGTTTGGGTATTGGTGTGATTGGTGGTGGACCTTACGGGTGCGATTGGTGGTGGACCTCATGGGTGTGATTGGTTTACGGACCTCATGGGTGTATTATGGGTTTGGGTGTGAGTCTACACTTGACTTTGAGTTCAGACCACTCCGGTCTTTTTGTAATCTTGGAAATCCACAGTAAGTTTATCCTAAAGGAAGCACGTGACCAGTTATTGGTTATGTTCTAATGACACACTTGAGACCGTCAAAGTTGTTCAGTTAAGAGAAAATAAAATTATCATCCAATGTTACTTTATTTGTCTTTTGTACATCTACATACTAAATATTGAAGCATTTTGTATAAGAGCAATAAACAGAGTTCATGAAAACCTCCGGTAGTGTTGTGAGGAGCGTGTGGCTAATGGAACTGTCATTTTCTTTTTCCGCAGGATGACTATGATGGCTCTGGATGGTATACGCATGCCGGACGGCTGCTACGCCGACGGCACCTGGGAGTTAAATATCCTTGTGACAGATATGAACCGGGATGTGGCGCTGAGAGTCACCGGTGAAGTACACATTGGAGGGGTGATGCTGAAGCTGGTGGAGAAGCTCGGTAAGTTGCGTGTGCGGTAGGCGTAGCTGCTTTACTGCCATTGGCTGGGTACCATCCCCTGTGGCCAATTGCAGAAGAATGGGTTCATTTTACTGTTCGCCATCGTTTTGGGAGGGGGGGGGAGGAGTTTTGTTCACCATGAATGAGTTTTTGTTCTGAGTTCACCTAACACCTTGCTCTTTGTTCAGCGCTCCACTTTGTAGCCTTCTATTAAATTTTCTGCCTGGGAGTCATTCACGTTTGTTTCCGATTGGCTTTGAAAAGTGCCAGGTTTCCACTCGGACTTTGTGCTTTGCCTTAAAGAACAACGCTGAGTGCCGTCTTTGTCTACAGTATGCATGATTTTAGCTTTTTAACTGTAGACATGCCTTGGCCTATTATGTCTCTGTATACACTTCTATGGTGTTTTCATGCCTCTGACCGCCAGGTGCATGTGCAAGAATTTGGATTGTAGCCTCCTTTGAGTAGCCACGTTGCCTTGTTGAAAGTAGCTGTTCAGGGCAGACATTTTGAACCTTACTTTGCCAGCCCTTCACCTTGCTTTCCTAACGTTGTCACTTGCCTGGAACAAGCACGTCCCATCAAAGTGTTGGAACTTCTCGTGCCGGGCCGTTGACTCACCAGGTTGGAGGACGAGGCTGACTGATCATTGGGGACAGCCAGGTGCACATGTTACATATCGCCGCGAACGTCGGAATGAGAGCAATAATTGTAGGGCTATCAATCACTGATAACACTAAACTGATGAGCGGTAAAAGCTTTTAAAGCATCGCCTATGGTCAATTTTGGACATGGTAAATTTTTGCGATTTTGCGTGTGCGCGCAATTTTAAAGAATGACATGTTTGGTGTCTATTTACCCGACGTGACCCCGCTTTTTATATTTTACCAAAAATATGGGTAATAAATGGGTGTGGTTACTGGGGGTGTGGTCACTAAAGGGTGTGGCCACTGAGGGGTGTAGTCACTGAGGGGCGCTGTAAAGCTTTCTCGCACAGGGCGCCTAAAGGCCCAAGGCCGGCCCTGGGGACAGCAGACATATTTCTGTCAGTGTTGGTTGTGTTCATAGCGACCCTTTTTATTTCAACTAAAATCTTTCCATAATGTGTGCATTTTATCATGTTTTATGCAAGTTACTTACCTGTTAAAGCCTCCTTTTGTATAGACCAGGGGGTCTCAAACCTCCGGCCCTCCAGCTGTGGTGGAACTACAAATCCCATGAGGTATTGCAAGATTCTCAGTCACAGACATGACTCCCGAAGAGAGATGCATCATGGGATTTGTAGTTTCACCACAGCTGGAGGGCCGGAGGTTTGAGACCCCTGGTATAGACCCTACAAAAGCTCTCAGATTGCTGCTGGGCGCCTCCATCTGGATGTGATGTCAGCAGCCCCAGCAGACTCAGAGGTGTCACTTGAGTAACCTTCTATAGCAAGGGTAGCCATCCTCTGCCCTAAGCTGTGTTGAAACTATAAATCCCATGAGGCATTGCAAGACTCTGACAGCTACAGGGGTGACTTCCAGAGGCAAAGGCATTGTGGGGGTTTGTGGTTTTACTACAGCTGGAGGGCTGAAGTTTGGCTACCCCTGCTCCGTTCACACCTTCCCCAGCAGCTATATAAAAGTATATGTAGGGATATGAGAGGATGGAGCTGGACCAGCACAGAGTGTAGATGTTCCTAGGAAAGAAAAAGGGCTATGATGTGCAAGGAGGGAGGGGGCTGTGCTAGGGAATTGACTCTACTGGAGTAGTCAGATTTGCTAGTAACTTAAAAGGCACACCGCAAGTTACTAAAAAGAATGAATGGAAAGGAAAAACGCTACAAGTAAGCATTGAGATCGCTTTATTATTATGATTAATTATAATCATAATAATAACTAAAAATTTGTGCTTTTACCAGCAATTTTTCAGCTTGGTGGCAGAGTAGAGGAAAAAGTGTAAATGTAACTTGTGATAATGGGGTAGATGACATCAGCTGGCTCTCAAACTTCTGTTGAAGTTCCTTGTTGTTGCTGAGCTGCTTTGCTTTTTATATAGATAATATATTTTATTCAAGTTTTACAATGTATGAGGAAAGTCTCTACAAAGTAGATGGGTGCCAGCTGAGCAGTGCAGCAGTTTTGATACTTTTTTAAGGGCAGGTTCACACCATTTTGTGGACCAGATCTGGTCCGGAAAATGGTGTGAACCTACCCGCAGTTCCAGTGCATTCCAGACCAGACAAAATGAGACATGCAGTATTTTTCTGGCCTGGTCTGGAATGGACTGCGCTGGGGTGAACAGAGGCCAGAAATAGCATAGGGATACATTAGGATACATTTTGGGTCCGGAAACAATCTGGTCTGGAGATGATGTGGTGTGAATGGGCCCCAAGTGTTTCAATCCACACAGTGAACACAAATGTAACAGGTACAGATTGTGAGATCCCATTAGAAAATCTGTCATGCGCATGCACAGAATAATGCACATTGAGCTGGTCCAGTGTAGGCTTAATGCGGTTCTAATGTCTAAGGGTGATGAGGGATATAAGCTGTACTCGCACCCGTCAGATATAGAGCAAATGGAAGGAGATTGGGGCGAGTAGTAGAGTGAGTGAATGAGGGAAGGGGGAGACGTATGAGAACATGTGTTTAGCAAAGACGGCATCTGGTGGGGTAGGGTGTAAACTGTGTAAAACAGTGCTGTCCATAGACATGGTCAGCCCAGGAGTGATCGCTTACTTGGTAAACGGGGTGACTGAGATGTATAAAGACAACCCATACACTCCAGGTTTTTATAAGAGGCGCTTTGGTTTGATGGCGCAGGTTGCAGGTGGTGAGAGCTGCCGCAGGTGGTGAGAGTTTGTTTTATATTCGGATAAGATTCTGGTTGCAATACTCCATTGGGTGTCTGAGCCGTGCACTCATCACTCTCCCCTCTGCCCCATCTGTCGCCCTGTCCATTATTTGCCAACCAGACCGGTTAATGATTTCTCACTGCTGTTATCTTTTGGTGACTTTGTTTACAGTAAAAGGAACACATGTGAAATTTTAACGAGTCAACATTCTTTTTAAAGGAGAACTTAGGGCTTTTCCCCATAGTTCTCCTTAGGGTAACGGGAGGACACAAACTAGCATCCTCCCGTCACCCTTGGCTAAGTATACCGCGAGCTACTGCTCGCGGTATACTGAGATGCCGCAGCTGAAGCGTATCCCGACAATTGTGTCTGGATCCGCCCAGCTGCGTGAGTGACAGCTGGCTCTGCCTATCTAGAGGCAGAGCCAGCTGTACCCGCCCCCTCCCGCGTCTGTTCCGCCAGTCAGCGCTGGCGGATCGGAGAGGGGAATCCAGCCCCTCCCCGGTCACGGCAGAGAGCCGTGACAGGATCGAGAAGTGAGTGAACACCGGTATGTGTTCGCTCACCTCCCGATCTACTGAGCCGACCTGTGACAGTCTCATTGTCACAGGTTGGCTAGAACTATGAGGTGAGTGAAAAGCACTCCCCTCATAGTTCTCCTTAAGTGGAAGTCACCCCTGTATTTTCTTCTTCTTTTTTTTTGCAGGCATTTTCATATTTTTACAGTTTTTAGATTGTAAGCCCTCAGGGGCAGGGCCCTCCTTACCATCTTGCCTTGAATTGTATTGTGATTGTAATGTCTTCCTTATATTGTAAAGCGCTGCACAAACTGCTATATAAATCCTGTATTTATTATTATTTATAATTTTTTTGAAGCATATCTAAACTCCAGAACAAAATGTACTGCACTTTCCAGTTCTTAAATGTGGTGTCTGCATTAAGTTTGGGACTTTATTTCTTTATAGTAACCGTTTGGGGCTTTCTGTCCAATGTGGCAACACTCCTTCACTCTATACTTGTAAAGAAGCAATGTTGTCACTCTGGGACAGGGAATATTAGGACTAAAGAACTCCTATCCCCTCTCCTCTCCAAAACATGGAGGGGATGTGTTCTGTAGCAGTGGCGTCACAAGTGGTGTGCGGCCCGTACCCGGGTGCCACCATGGGAGGGCTGACCCCAAAATGACTGGTGTCCCCCAGAATAAAGATTAGCTCAGTGGGTTTTATTTTAGAACCGTTACAATGTGTCCTGATTCCACCTGTCTGGAGTCTCTCTTATTGAAGAAGAAAAAAAAAAGGAAGTAGACAAGTTCATTTATTCGGACACGGTGTAGAATCAAAGGTTATCTGTGTTCACTGTGAGTCATTCCATGCTGGGAGGTGTAAGCAGCAGATAGCGGTTTCTTATTAAAGGAAAAATGTAAACTGAACGGCTTGTAGTCAGGGAAAAGCTTTACAGTTTTTAGTTATATTTATCAACGCTGCACCGGAGACCCTTTTCGTATTCATTTTTTTTTTATAGGATAGGCTGCATTTCCAGTGATGTCACCGGTCTCTAGTGAATGGATAGGCTGCATTCTCAGTGATGTCACCAGTCTCTAGTGAATGGATAGGCTGCATTCTCAGTGATGTCACCGGTCTCTAGTGAATGGATAGGCTGCATTCTCAGTGATGTCACCGGTCTCTAGTGAATGGATAGGCTGCATTCTCAGTGATGTCACAGGTCTCTAGTGAATGGATAGGCCGCATTCAATGTGATGTCACCGGATCCATCAATATACTCATATGTGAGCCTTTCCTTACGTGTGTGTGTGTGTAAAGTAATTTGGCTCTAAATTAACTTTTTCCCCCTAATGCAAGAAATGTAGACATAGGCCAAGTCTTGTAGTTCCTCCTTGTCAAATACAAAATTACCCCACAATTCTGTTCGGCTGCAGTTCTTTGAGAACCATTTAAAACCCTCCTTCCGCTTGTGCTGGATTCCTTATCTTCATTTCTCAGTACCAGACCTGAAGGGGGAAAAACAAAAGTTGATCCTATAAAATTAAGTTTGCCATCATTCCGCATAGCCTGGGGATACTCTGCGCTCTCGCGCTTTGTTCTCTAACCGCCTCCCATCGCGTTCTTTGGCTGTCTGGAGAGCAGCGCTCCTCCAATTTGAAGTG